TTGCTGAATCTAAAGTACAAGGGTTCTCTCCAAGTTGTTTGGAATCAATCTTGCTCGAAAAGAATGAAAAACTCAAGTAGAACAGATAAATCATACTAATGCGAGGGCATCATCGTCAACCTTACTTGTCACTTATAAATTCATTTCGAAGTATCAAATGATATAACGATGACGTTTGATATTGTGACTTAATTACGACTCTGTGTTCTACTCGGGAATCTAGACGGTTACTCTTCGCTACGGAGAGCGGTGTCGTAGATTGTTGTTTTTCGAAGTACAAGCCCCTTATTTACACGTTCGCGCGTATGTTTGCACAACGCGCTCGGGAACGGCTGTGAATACCACGCTCTGAAGTGAGAGTCCGGAAACTTTTGCGGAAGATCGACAGTACGGTTCCCGTTAAGACCGAAGCACGGACCTTTTGTATAACGTGTAGTATATCAAGCATAAGAGATCGACCAATCGGAATCTTTTATTTCGTAGAAAGAAAGAAAATGAAGGACTTTGATTGTCCGTTTTTCTACGCAAGACTCTGTGCTTAACAAGTTTCATCCGGTGTATCCGTTGTAATATTTTTCGAGATAATATAGGCTTGTTTTTTTTTTTTTTTTTTTTTTTTTTTTAGCTGAATTTCCTGCACCCTTTTTTTTTTCTCCAACATGAATGAAGAATACACGATGTTTCACTCCCGCGTAGTCAATTAGAAAATTTGCCCAAAAAGTTACGATATAAAGCCGCTGTTAGAAATTTACGGTCAATAAGAAGTTTGCTCCAAAATTTCATCATTGTGCGATCGAATATAATAAAACACTCTCTATTTTTGTATTGGTGGAAAATAATGAAGCGTGGGAAAATTCTGCAGCTAATGAAGAACAGTTCTATTTACGCGAGCAGAAAGGGAAAATCGGAATATTAAAGATTAGAGAGATATTGACTTAACTCGAGGAACATCGAGTGGTTCCGTCCAAAGGTTAATGTTCTCAGGTTAAAGCATTTCGCCGGAAGTAAGATTTAATTAGCGTTTATTATTGTCGACACCGAGTCTTCAACGAGAATCGTATCTTACTGTCTTCGAGTGCGCGTTCAAAAACCAGCAGGGTCTACAGAGACCTGTTTGATTACACTTCCTCTATTATCAAGTTAAATTAGCGAAAACTGAGTGATAATTAAACGAAAAAAAGTCCAATGTCTATTTCTATCAATATAGATTAACTTTAATCGGTTACTTTTCAATCTTCTTTAGAATTTATATCAATCTTCTAAGAATTGTGTCCATTTTCTATTAATGTAGATTAACTTTAATCTACACTTAATCTTGATTTTCAACTATTCATCTTTCTCTAATTCTTAAAATTGAATTACATTTGTAGGAACGGGCGTTAGAAAAACATAAAAGGGAGTAAATAAAACTAGGATTAAAGTTAATCTACATCGACAGAGATGCGACGTAAATCCGAAAAAAAAAAAAATCACATCCGACGTTTTCAATGATCACATCGCAATGCGCATTATACAAGATATAATTAAAAAAAAATCATTCCCATTTAATTTCTTATCTACAGAACAAAACGTACGTCGACGGTTATGGAAAATTAAAATAGCTCGTTTACGTAAATATCGAAATTGAACGTGGAGATAAGTGCCGCCGCCATCAATTACCTGCTAGAACGCAGACGATGTGTGGTTCGAGACGTAATTTTATAATCGTGCTCGGCAGTGTGTTATCACACACGTGTTGCGTACCGTAATTTACATTATACGGTACTTATCGAAAATTCTCCGGGAGCGCACGGTCAAGGTGATCGAGGCGACGCGGAAGGGACGCGAAGGGAAGAGAAGGGTTAAGGGCGAACGGCATCAGCCGGGCGAGCTCAAATCGTCGGTCGAGCTTTCCCGCCTTTCAAATATCCCGGACACGAATCGAACTCGCGCGGTGAGTGTGTTTACTCGCCGTCACGTGTACGACGACGACGACGACGACGACGACGTGGCGGCGTATCGATTCCTCCGAATCGCGCATTGAAGCCTTCAAGGCGAACAAAACGGACGAGTGGACCAGTCGTCGACGTAAAGAAGTAAACAATACCGTGAGAGACGTTGTTTGTGCCCGTGCGCATACGAAAGAGAAAAAGAAAGAGAGAGAGAGAGAGAGAGAGAGAGAGGTACACATTTGTTAACGGGGAAAACGTCGATGACTCGATGACGCACGAGGTGCTATATGGGTCAAGGAATATAGGCCGACATGACGGCGGCGGCGGTTTCGCGTCGCGCGTTCTTGAAACCGGGAAAGTCCACGGCGACGACGGAACGGCAGACGAGTCTACGGTCGAGTCGGCGCGTGGAAACCACGTAGTTAGGGAAGGATTCCGCGCGAGAAAAGCGACGATGTGATAGACTACAAAGCGGAACAGAGAACGGCGCGCAGCGGCAGAAGAGAGTGAAAGAAAGAGAGAGAGAGAGAGAGAGAGAACGACAGTCGGTACCGAGTGTTTTGTTTACATACGCGGTTGACGGCGTGACCTTTTACAAGACTCCTTTCCCGCGTGAATCGGCAGTGCCTTGCGTGACACGCGTTATCGAAGTTGGTTGGCTTTGCCAAAGGCAGCTTCGCTCTCTGTAAGACGTGCGCGATTCTCTCGCTTTTCTAATATAGAGCCATTCGAGAGCCGCGTTATATTATCTGTGAAAGAGAAAATTCGCGATATCCTTCCTAGTGGCGAAAACGGCATCGGCGCGATTAAACGTCGTCGCGATCTGTTTCAGGGACACGTAAACTGACGCTACGCCTCGCAATTTCGTGGCGTGATGTTACTCAAACAGGTAAATCTCTCTTCCGGAGTAAACTGAGTAAAAGAGTAAACTGAGCGGGATGTGAATGGGAAAAACGGTGGATAACATTTTGACGGCGACGTAAATGGTTGACGAGTTGCGGCAGACGTTTCTTATCTTTTCTAACTTAATCGCGAGTTTGGCTGAATGAAAAATTTGAAATTTCATTGATTTCGTTGATATTCTAATAATAATAAGGAGGATAATGAAGGAAGGGCTTTACGCGTGTGTCTTGCGTGTATGTGCACTGTGTGTGTTTTCCGCGTATGTTTTGTGACGAAATTTGCGTAGGAGGATACGCACGTGTACGTGTATGGTTACGCTTTCAGATGCTGGATCCGAGCGTATTGACGGACCTGGAGGAGCTGACGCTTTGCGGTTGTTGCAAGCAGAAGTACAATGATGTAGAGCAATGCCCCAAGTATCTTAGCTGCAAGCATTACTTCTGCCTACGGTGCATCGAGAGCAATCTGCTGAAGGGACGCGATTTGCAGTGCGCGCATTGCTGGAAAACGACGGATTTGGGTAACCAAGGCGCGGACGCTTTACCGACTCACTCTGCTCTACTTGCCTTGGCCAACAATTTGTCGCGTCTCAAGATCACGACAAACAATACGTCCGGCAAACCTGACAAGGAGAGGAAGGTAATTGTCTGGCTTTTTTTCCTACACACACGAAAAAAAAAAAATTGTTTCGTTGAGTTAACTAGAATTCTGGTAGAAAGTGAACGATCCAGAATTCTAATTCAATCTACAAGATTTCTGGTTAATCTATTAGAATCTATTAAAATTCTAGTTGAAACAACAACATTTAGTAGATTTAATCAGAAATATAGTAGGCTTAACCAAAATTCTGGATCGTTCATTTTCTACCTGAATTACAGTTAATTTAACCAAACATTTTTTTTCCATACAGTGATATTCTTTTCCTTGAAATCTCACCGGTCGGTATTTTCCACGCTCGAAATATTCGGCGATAATATACTGAGAACGGATAGAGACTAAAATGCGTGAAAAATTCACTTCAAATAGAACTAGATCAGATGAGTAAAAAGAGGAGCGTGACCTGTTGCGATTATCTATTTAGAAACGATACGGAAAGTATTTTGGATGTACATATATTTGATTTTGAAAAAATAAAACAGGAAAATTGCATCGTCAGTGCTGTATATCAAGATGAAACACAATTGGAGTAAAGTCACTTTCTCATACGATTTGTTTAAATTCAAAATACGTCGTCGAGATGTCTCTTATCCATTTCAATGTAGATTAATTTTAATACCGATTTAACTTACTTTTCTATCCTTTTTTAATGCCCGTTTCTACTAACGTATATTAATTTTAATCTCAATTCAACTAACTCTTTATCTTTTTCTAAGAATTAAAAAGAATAAAGAGCAAGTTGAATCAAGATTGAAATTAATCCATTCCAAGAACAAGAAAAAGAATAAAAAGTATGTTTAAATCGAGATTAAAGTTAATCTATTTATTGGTAGAAATAAACATCTGTCAAATAAAATTGAAATATCGTGGACGACAAAAGATCATTCGACCGCCACAGTACACAGCGTGCGATGAGCTTTTGTCGAGAGGGACGGGATAACCGAAAGCGAAACGCAGGACATGCGTATGAAACCATATCGAGAAGGAATAGTCAATAATAGGATGAGTCAATAATAGGTTGTAAGAATGTCATCATTCTTTTCTCCCCCCCCCCTCACCCCTCCCCAAGTGCGGACAAATATTTCCGAATCTGCAGGAATTTTATATATCTTATCCCTTAAAATGATCTCGAGATATCCGTAGGAATGTGATGATTTCATATTGCAACACTTCCTTTCGGCGGGTCGTGAACCTTCGTGTTTATCGTGTAAACACGTGGACGGTTTCTCCTCGTGAATCGATAACGCTTAAATATTTTCGCAGAGCGAGAACTGTCACACACACGGAATGCCGCTAGCATTGTGGTGTGCGACATGTTGCACGGCGCTTTGTAGGGCGTGCGCAAGTCCGCAGGATCACCCGGGTCATCAGATCAAATCGCAAACCGATGCCAAAGAACAGCTCATATCCGACGTAAGTCGCTATCTATTATTCGTTTTACTAATGTCACGATAAAAAAAAAACTAAGCGAGAGACTAATGACGTCAAAACGTGTCCGTAGGTTCAACTGGAGTTAGTCACCGTGGGTAAACTGTCGACGGAGATTCAAAGACTGGCCGTGCAGCAACGCGAATTTCTGATAAAGGTGCTGGAGGCATGTGTAACGTTGAAGACGCATGTAGAGACGGATCTGCAAAATGGCTGGAGTCACTTTCCCGAGATAACGGACGCGCGCGAGACTCTAGGCAAGACGAGGGCTGGTCTGCAAATGAGCGAGACTCCGGGTGATGTCTACAGTCTACATTCGCAATTGATTCTCGAGAAACAAAGGTTGCAGTCGAAATATCAGGAGATGATGTTACAGTGTCAGCTAGATGATCTCATCGGCAACTCTGGAGTGATATTTGACTTCGCTTTGCTAAAGCAGGCATTGGCAGGGATACACACGGGAGATCCGATTGTCCCTCAAGGAAATGGCGGTCGCTTGCCGAATCATCTCGCGGCTTCGCATAATCCGATTTTGTTCCTCGCGAATTATTGTATGTCGCAGTTGTACACACGTCACGTCGTTAGCAAGCAACAACATATGCAGAATGGCTCGATGGAGTATCATCATTCAAGTATGATGCCACCACCGCCCCAGCAAGCGCCATCCGTTCACGTTCATCAGGGTCCACCGGCGCCACCACCGGGACCCAATCAAGCTCCCCAGCAGCTTCTCATTCCACCCGGTTCACCGTCCGTTAAACCCGTACCGCCTGTACCGCCCAACGCCATGTTGCACCCGCAGCAACAGTCAACGTTCATGCCTGACGCGGTCGGCACTGGCGCCGGTGGCGGTAGTCTAGTGACCGTCCACTCGTCCCCGCAACCGCCGTCCAACGCGATAACGGCGACGTTGACGCGAGGTCCTGCGAATCCGTATCCTCTGTACTACTTCAACATCGAGGTGAATGGTTCACCGCACGGGCGCATCGTGATCGAAGTGCGACCAGACGCGGCGCCGAAGATGGCCAAGAACTTCAGCGTGCTGTCAACGGGAGAGATCGGATTCGGGTACAAGGGATGCACGATATTCCAATGTTGGGAAGGCGAATCCGTGATCACAGGTGATTTCGAGCTTAACAACGGCCGCGGTGGACGTAGCATATTTGACGACGGTTATTTCATGCCGGACGATACCAAGTTCCCGGCGGTTAGGGGCGCGGTGGGCATGAGGCGGACGCAGAAACGGCATGACAACCTCGGGATGGTCGGCTCGCAATTTCGCATAATCCTGCAGGAGATGCGCGGCTTTACTGGCATCTTCGGCCACGTTGTCGAGGGATTGGAGCTGGTGGAGAAGATATCTACGTACGGTGATCAGACCGGCAAGCCTACCAAGAATATTCTAATCACGAAATGCGGTAAATTGTAACGTTTATGATGTCGCTGTCGCGCGGTTTGTTGCAACGCGGGATAATTCTCCGAGAAATGAGTATACACTCCGTATATATATATATACATATATACATATATATATATATATATGTATGTATGTATGTATGTATATGATATAACGCCGTATACAACACGTTTTCCTGCTCTAGATAACCGAAGGAAAGTCGCCACGGTATCCCCGACTTCGCGCGCGTTCGCGGCCACGAGAGAAACCTATAATACGTAAGAAGAAATGTGCAAAAAGAAATCGCGTTATACACGTAATTGTCCGGCGACGGGAGACGATTATTGTTATTATTATATCCGCCGCGTGTATATCCGCTCGGGGAAATCGTCGCGACACGTTTATTAACTCCGCGAATCCTCGAACGTTCCGTACGAGTCATGCAACTTAATTAACTATTAACAATAGTGTCTAAAGATGTCGAATCTATTTTTAAAACATGGGCGTGCGCGAGAAAAAGAAAAAGAGAAAAAATCCATATTTTGCTATTGACTGGGAATCGATACGAGATTCTGCTAACAATAACGACGATGATCGATATACACAGAGACACATACACACATACGTACCTCAGAGATCGACCGTGATATCGATACGACTTCTCTAGCTGATACGACATATTTGTTTTTTTAGGGAGAGAGAGGTCTGACCGTTTATTTTGGCTATTATCGGCATTAACTCTTCTACGACGTTGTAGTTCATAGAGCGCGTGTCGCGCGTTGAACGTGATATAATGGAGAAAATAATACCGCGCGCGAATCGCGGCGGACGGTTCTCCGGCCGGCTGCGAGCGCAGCTAATGTTTTAGGTCGTAGATAGCGAATAATAAAAGGATGAAAAAAAAAATGCACATGTAGAATAATCTGGGAATTTAAGTCTAGTGAACTGAGTCGGAGGCAACCGAATCGTGTGTTATGTACACGACATATTTACGAAGAAACGAAAGAGACAGATCTGCACGCGAGCAAACATTCGACTCTTTCGATTCTTGTTCTTTTTTTTTTTTTTTCGCAACTTTCGCGACTTGCTGCTAAAAGTTGTGAATCGCGCGATTCCATACGCGGGTCTCTCGTTTAGATATCTTAGCCGAGAGAGGAAGAAGAGATATCGGTATAGAGTTAGTCACGTAGGAGGGCAGTTTATGGTTCGTCGGACACGGCGTGTCGTTCCGTTCCGTTCCAGGGGTGCGAGGAAAAAGAGCTAAAAGGGAAGAGAGAAAAAAAAAAGAGATATTCATCGCGCGCGCGCGTCTTGCGAAGAAGAATCTTGCGATACCGCTGCTCGGATACTTGCGACTCGAGCCCGTTCCCTTTTCGTTCTTTGCGAACTAGCGAACCGTCAATGGGTTATATCTGTATTTAAGATTAGATCTCAATACGTCGCAAATGTATGCAAGGCCTAAATACTACTATGTAAACCGTAAGCCTCGTGTCGTCTAATCGGGAAACGAAAGGGAAAAAAAAAATGAAATGTGCGGATATATATAACGTATATATATATCTATATATACATATATATATATATTATATTAAACGAATCATTCCTCGATGCTATATATCGAAAAATACTACGATATAATGTAACTGCGTTATAACTACTCGTCTGAATCCTCGTAATGAAGTCCCATGCGTTATTATCGTTACATACAATGTCACACACGCACGCGTGTATATACGCGGGGAGTGGACGCGTAATCTCTCCCTCTCTCGCGAACACGCGTGCGTGCGATATATTTCCACGCGCGTACAAGGCAAGGCACACTCACGCGTAATAAGCAGAAATTGCACGCCCTCGCGTCGTCGCGGATATGCCTTCTCGAAGAAAAGCCTCATTCGATGTTGAACTTGAAAGTTTTAACACTTGTTGATTAGCTGATTAAAAAAAAAAAAAAAAAAAGAAGAACGCGTCTCACGCGATCGACGTCGCGATGACTAACGTAATGCGTCACGTCGTCTTTAGGAATAAATAACTCGCTCCTGTACGATCAAGAGCGGAAATGCTGTCCGAGTCAAATGTAGCAAAAAACCGAACTGTACTTGTATCGAGCTTCTCTCTCTTCTCTAGAGAAGATACCAGTAGTTGGTTGGCTGGCTAGCTAAGATCTAGAGAAAGTCTAACGAGACTCACGGATAGAGAAGCTCGTTCATTTTAAAACAGTTCACGATCTCCTTACGCCGGAAAGCATTTTCGCTGTCGATTGCACATGTACAATATTGTATACACGACGACCGTAAGGGGGTTTGGGGAGGGTGGGGGGGGGGG